GGAGAGAACCCCCCACATGATTGTAAAGCGCTTTGGGTGTACAACAATACACAATAAAGCGCAATATAAATGCATCATTCATTCATTCACATGCTCCATGTCCTAGTTTTCCCCCCTGTTTCTCTGTGCCCATATTTGGTTGTTCCTGTTCTTGTTCTGATTGTGTTCATTTGATCCAGGTGTTCCTTATTGATTCCCTCCTTTAGTTCCTTGTTTGTTGTGTATTTAAAGAGTGTTCTGTGTAGCTTCCAGTCGTCCAGTGTCTTACGTCATTCTGTGTCTCCCGCGTTCTCTGGTTTAGTTTGTATTCCCTTTGCTTTATTAAAGTTTGTTTGTTTAAATTTATTCTTACATCTCCTCGTCTCCTCGCTCCACTCCTGTGAAACGTGACATTAGCAGCCTGATAGAAATCATGCTGATGCTTGTCCACAAATGTAAACATAAATCTCAAGCTCTCCCAGGGAATGTTGTGGTCTAATAGCAAGAGAAGAGAGATGTAACTGAAATAAGCCCAGTTTCTGTGCTAAGACGGCTTCAATCATAAATTAAATACAGTCTCTCTGTCAAACTGAAGATAGTTGAGAAGACACCATTTTTTTTCAAATATTGTAGACATAAATAGCACATTTAGGATTGGTCTATGATAAACCAACTATCCTGGGTCAAGTTATAGGGGGTTTGATAACTAGCTTAAGAGTGTCCTAAAGAAAGCGCAAAGTTAAAAATATTGAGAGGTTCTGAGATGAACACCTCTTTCAGTAGCTAAGTGCTTATAAGATCTAGGTATGCATGTTGTTGGTTTTAAGGCGATGTTCGGCCGTCGGTTCGTGTCTGTCGGGCTAGTTTGGTGTGTTTCACACGTCGGCAGCAGTTTGCCCGATTGAACATGCTGAATTGCCGTCTTGGCTGTCAGTGAGAGTGAGAACTCTGATTGGATGTTCAGTTTAGCAAACGAGTCAGTGCTCAAGAATTAAAGCGTTGTGATGAAAACGGGCAAGTAAATGAAGGCGGTACAGACAGAAGGCTGTTCTAATGTTACGTGATCTTTCCCAAGCATTCCAATGTGCGAATATTGTCCTTTCAACATGAGCCGCTTAAAATGAAGAAAGTTATCAACGTAACTGATATTCTAAATGGCAAGTAAGCGCTGATTGTTTACGTTTCGTATATCTGCGTATATCTTGTATATCCTTGTTTCGGCTTCTCCTTTAGAATGACGAACATTGCTATAAGACAGCTAACTCCTCTCATGTAGGCGCAGATCACACAAGTTAGTTTGTAGTCGGATGCAGTCTGTGTTGTGTCTTCAAGCGCTGCTTATTTGTCCAGATGCTGCTGACATGAGGCAACAACACCGTCAGCTTTTGTCGCTGCTAGTTCTTTGAAGGTGGCTTGGTGTGTCCCGGCCTTAAATGCTTTCATGTTGGTTTTCACATCTTTTGCTTTGTGGCTTTAAACTGTGGTTAACTTGTATTTATAATTTTTTCACTTTAGACCTGCTGGTGCTGAAAGAGGAGAATAAAGATCCAAATGAAATGGAACAGACAGATCAGTATAAAAAATGCCATGATTCCATAAATGGTGAAAAAGCCACAACGACTAAAACGACTTCTGTACGAAAAAGAGCTCAGAAAACCAAACGTAACCGCCGTTTCACCTGCCATCATTGTGGGAGAAATTTCGGTGAAAATGAAAAACTTAAAATGCACGTGAGAGTTCATACTGGAGAGAGGCCGTTTCCCTGTCAACAGTGTGGAAAGAGCTTCACTCAACAAGGAGCCCTTAAAAGGCACATGAGAACTCACACGGGAGAGAAACCTTACACCTGCCAACAGTGTGGAAACGGTTTCACTCAAAAAGGACACCTTAAAAATCACGTGAGAACTCACTCAGGAGAGAAGCCATTCACCTGCCAACAGTGTGGAAGTTGTTTCACTCAAAAAGTTCACCTTCAAGGTCACATGAGAACTCACTCAGGAGAGAAGCCTTACACCTGTCAACAGTGTGGAAAGCGTTTTACACAGAAAGGCACCCTTCATTCCCACATGATTATTCACACTGGAGAGAAGCCTTATACATGCGAACAGTGTGGAAAGAGTTTCCCTGCAAAACAAAGTGGAAAGAGTTTCACTCAAAAATCAAACCTTCAAAATCACATGAGAACTCACTCGGGAGAGAAACCATTCACCTGCCAACAGTGTGCAAATGTTTTCAATCGAAAAACAAACCTTCTAAGACACATGAGAACTCACTCGGGAGAGAAACCTTACACTTGCCATCAGTGTGGAAAGTGCTTTACACAGAAAAACAGCCTTCAATCTCACATGAACATTCACACTGGAGCGAAGCCTTATACATGCGAACAGTGTGGAAAGAGTTTCCCTGCAAAACAAAGCCTTAAAGGACACATGAGAGTTCACACCGGAGAGAAGCCTTACTCTTGCGAGTATTGTGGGAAGAGTTTCACACATATATACACCCGTAATTACCACATGAGAATTCACACTGGAAAGCAGCTGTTCACATGTGATCGTTGTGGAAAGAGTCTCGCAACAGAATTTAGCCTTAAGTGTCACAAGATCAGGCACACTGGAAAGAAACCCTTCAAATGTGATCAGTGTGGAAGGCGTTTCATTCGTAAGATAAGCCTTAAGTACCACATGAAGACTCATTCAGCAGAGAAATGCTGTAAATGTGCTCAGTGTGGAAAGAGTTTCAGTCATAAAGCTAGCCTCAATGCTCACATGAGTAAGGAACACACTCGAGAGAAGCCTATGGGAAGAGCTTCTCACAAATAGAAAATCTTAAGATTCACATGAAATATGTGTGGAATCATGTGAAGAAGCCCACATGAGATTTCACTGAGGGCAGAACTATTTTATATGCCATCATTGTGCAAAGTGTTTCACAGACAAAGGAAACCTGCGCAACAGAATTTAGCCTTAAGTGTCACAAGATCAGGCACACTGGAAAGAAACCCTTCAAATGTGATCAGTGTGGAAGGCGTTTCATTCGTAAGATAAGCCTTAAGTACCACATGAAGACTCATTCAGCAGAGAAATGCTGTAAATGTGCTCAGTGTGGAAAGAGTTTCAGTCATAAAGCTAGCCTCAATGCTCACATGAGTAAGGAACACACTCGAGAGAAGCCTATGGGAAGAGCTTCTCACAAATAGAAAATCTTAAGATTCACATGAAATATGTGTGGAATCATGTGAAGAAGCCCACATGAGATTTCACTGAGGGGAGAACTATTTTATATGCCATCATTGTGCAAAGTGTTTCACAGTCAAAGGAAACCTGAAGACTTGCATAGTTCACACTTTCACGTGTTTCTGTGTGTTCCTGAAATGCCATTCAAGATCATTCTGGAAATTAAGTGTGACTGTGACAAGGTTCACCGAAAGAGGCCATTTTAAAAATCACTGGTGTATTCACTCTGGAAGAATTCCCTTGTAATACATTTCTTTTGACATCACACCTAATAGATACACCTAAGAAGTGGCCCTGCAATTTAAAATAGCACCAGAAAATAGGTAGGCTTATCTGTTTGAAATTAAGACTATGTTCTCACCACATCTGAATGTGTGCTATATCTGATTATTGTTCACATTTTTACATGTGGCTTGAGGCTTTTATTTTTTTATATATGATCTCCTGTATCCACACATGACTGTCTCCTTTTCTATAGTTTCAAATATCGCAGTAGACACTCAAATTTCAATTGTATGGAGACATTGTGCCATTCCATATACAGTTGCGCTCAAAATTATTCATACCCTTGGTAAATACGATCAAAGGCAGCCCTGAAAATAAGTCTGCATTGTTTATCCATTTGATCTTTCATTCAAAAATGTAAAAAAAAAATCTAACCTTTAATTGAAGTAAAAAAAAAAAAAAAGTGAGGGGTAATGTGTGGGGGGAAATCACATTATGAAATAAATATTTTTCTCTAATACACAATGGCCACAATTATTGGTACCCCTAGAATTTCTTATGATTAAAATATCTCTGGAGTATATTTCCATTCATATTTGCATTTTTTTTATCACACCAGGGTGACTAGGAACATGAAATTTTTTTCTCTAATACACAATGGCCACAATTATTGGTACACCTAGAAATTCTTATATGATTAAAATGTCTCTGAAGTATATTCCAATTCATATTTACATTTTTTTTATCACACCAGGGTGACTAGGAACATGAAATTATCCAGCCATGGCTTCCTGTTTCAAAGGAATATAAATATGAGGAACACGAAGGCCAAATTACTGACAGCATTGTAGATTCTATCAAATAACAACAGATAAAAAATTAAAAACTGACTGTCCATGCTAGAAATCTTACATTGGACCATGGTTGGGTCTTCCAACAGGACAATGATCCACAAACAAACATCAAAATCAAGCCAAAAATGGGTCACTGAGAACAAAACCAAGCTTCTGCCCTGGCCAACCCAGTTCCCTGAGCTGAAGCCTGTAGTAAATGAGTGTGGTGAACTGAAGAGAAGCATCAACATGCAGCTGTGAATCTGAAGGATCTGGAGAGATTCTGGATGAAGGAATGGTCTCTCATCTCTGATCAGGTGTTCTCCAAACTCTTCAGGCATTACAGGAGAAAACTCAGAGCTGTTCTCTTGGGAAAAGGAGGTTACACAAAGTATTGAATAAAAGGTATGATTAATTGTGGTCAATGTGTATTAGAGAAAAATATGTATTTCATAATGAGAGGATTAATGATACAGATTTATTTTCACAGCCTTCTTTGATCATATTTACCAAGGGTATGAATAATTGAGCACAACTGTACTTATAACTTGGAATCAAAATATTACATTTCTGTCTTACTGCAAAATGCCACAATGTAACTAAATGATTATAAATAAAATGGTGAACTGCATGAAGTAATGAACATTGCACTGAATTATTTGATGCATATTTAGTGAGAGAATGCACAGGTAAGGATGTTTTAAAGGGGTCATCAGATGCAAAATTCACTTTTGTTGTTGTTTTAACATAAATGTGTGTTGGAAGTGTGTGTAAACATCCATCCTATAATGATAAAAATCCACCCAGTGTTTTTTTAAAAATACCTATCT